ATACACATAGCACAGAGAAGACTACAAAAAGAGTCACCTAGTAGAGCAGGACTGAATTGAAACGAAAATACAGACATGACTTTATAAAAATCGAAAAAGAAAAAATAAAACTGTTGTAGTGAGAAAAGTATTTTCATGTATATGAAGATTTTTGTGATCAACTAGCATGCAAATTATCTTCACAATTGAGAGCTAAACTGAAGCCTGTGGAAGAAAGAATTATAACTGATTACACCATGTTTAAGGAATATCTTAAAATTCAGAGCTATTACACAACATTCGTGGGACTGAGCAAATGTGCAGGTTTATTGCACAAATCAGTATGCAACACTCTCATAATTTCATTTATCATAAAAGAACATTATTCAAAATGTTTTTAGCTGAAATTAAGTGCATTTATTGCATACTGAGAGTCCACTAGTGTTATGAAATTCACATGTATGAAGAATATTTTCTCCTTTTCATTATCTGATGATTGTTTTTAGGTACATGACTATGCTAATAATCTCTACCCCACATTTTAAAAAGCAAAATATACACATAACAAGAATTTCATATACAACAAAGCCAGTCTGCCCACACATTTTTATTATCATGAACAATAATTTCAAGATGAATTTTACTCTACATTTCTCAGTGGTATTTGCTGCAAAGCATTTAGTTGTTAGAGACCACTGGAATTTAATAGTAAGAGAAGCATTCAACCAAACCTAAAAAATACCCAGATCATGGTTTAACTGGTCTTGATTAGTGAAGATATCATCATTCAGTATTATCAAATCATAGGTAATTATTTACTCACTTGCTGAGAATCAACAATGGTTTTTATTGCTATAAAACACATTCAACACATTTTACTGTGATAAAAATGTCACTTTTTCAGAATGAGATGAAAACCATCTAGAAGCTTCTGATTTAGTTACATTTCTAAAAAAGGAGATCTGAAGTTAAACACACATATTAAATGAGTCTGAGAATTAACTCTGTACCATAACCAAGAAAGGTAGGTAAACTATTAATTCAGAATGTAAAAAAAGAAGCTTAACAAAAATGTTGTTTAGAATCAAAAATCCTACTTAAAAATACAGAGGCTATAAAATTGAAAACATCGAATGTGTGCTTATCTGTGGTACTAAAAATGTGTGCTTTATATTTTCAATCCTAAAAATCTGATGCTTTAAAAGTATGAGAGTAGCTGGGAACAAAAGAAAAGCTCTCAATATTATATCCTGTCCAATGGCTAACTGTAATTAGACTGACAACAAATAGAATTCACCTCTAGAGCAGATCTCTTTTTCAAAGTCCATTTAAATAAACATCATGCATTTATTATATAAATTTTATATGAATTTGAAAAATGTCTTAAAATGCACAGGCTTTACACAGGAAGTTATGGAGAGTAGTATACAACTTAAGAGTACCATAAAATAAGAACATACATTAAAGTGCAATTGGAAAATTTAGTGATAAAACATCAAAAACTCTAGAATTTAAAAGAAACTTCTAATTTTTAATGGTCAAAAAATTAACATAGCAGAAAAATACATGTATCATTTGAAGCAACTACACTAATTCTTATAAAGATTTCATCCACGCATAGTTTTGTAAATCTATGAAGTTCTAACTATGTACTGGAGTGGTAACTTAAAAACGGTATCAGTTCCACTCAGGGATTTAAGATTAACTCAGCTATGCGTTAGCTAAGTGCTTATTTCTTTTTTTGCTATCTAAATTGTACTATTTGGATTAAAAGCATCCAGGACATTATGAGTAGATACTGAAAAAGGAACGTCCCTCACAAGAGAAGGATCAGAAGATGGTTTTTCCTGTGGCTGAAAGTTTCAGGCCATTGTAATATAAAGGTGTGAAACTGAAGTGAGCTGTCAGGAATTAAGATATCTAATAGCACCTGAGGACATACACATTTTTAACCTTGTATCAGAGGCTCCTGTTACACTGAGGTTCAAGCTAAGGCATCTTTACTTCACAACATGAGTATATATATAAGCTGGGATGACAGTGCAGACAATACACTATAAATTAATATGTGTGGCACATCCTACAGCCTGAGAACTTTACTGGTTCTCTGTGAAAGAGACTAATAGTCAAGAAAAATCACAAGGAAATTATTTGTGTATTACACTAAGAATTTTGGTAATTAAAGGAAACTAATTATAAATCAATTTGTCAGAACAATTTCTATATTCTTAGATATTCTGTATGGTAATCTCATTAATGGCTTTGCAGTGTTTTATATAATGTAAACTGACAGATAATGAAAGAAGGTATCTTTGACAGACTTAGTTATTTAAACTGGAAAAAAAGTTTATAGGCAAGGACAACACAATCTGTCTTCATCAATACCTGTCAAAAGTAGTTCAAATTAGCATAGCTTTCTACATCCCTTCGTAATGGTATCAACAGATGTTATCAGAAAATGTTGAAGTATGCAGCTATTGAAACTCAAATTTCAAATTTAAGCAGTTTAATTCATGGGAATTAAATGCAAAGTTAAAAAAAAAAAGTTCTTGCTCACCGTAAAAGAACTTTTTAATAAGCTTAATTGGCACCATCACTTTTCCTCATTAGAACAGGACAATTTTTTTTTCAGTATTAGAAAATGAACAGAATAAGATAGCATCTAATATAGTTTATTCATCTCTTGCCAAATGTTTTCAGTACAGAAGCTGAAAAATATAATGATTTTAATTAATCTGATGTTTGTACGTGATGAGCACGTACTCTTCTCATTGAAGCCAATAGGAGTTACTAAAGCTGGGCAGCTTTGAACAGAAGCACAGTTCCCATACTTAAAGATTTTGGTGGGTAACTCTAAGCTACCTGTATTTCAAAGCACTGGTCTCTGGGAATCTACATTTCTCTAGTGACAGCACACCTACAGTTCCAAAACTGAAATCCTCACAAACTGGTATACTCACGATAAATAGACTGATTTGGTTTTACGTAGTGCTGGGGAAGCACGTGATGATAAGCAATAAAAAAAAAAAAGTGCTAATCCCCTACTACAAATTCCACCCCAAACAGCTGAAAGGGCACAAGCTGTAAAGCACAGGAAATGCAAAACACAACACAACACAGACAGAATGACAAGTGGTTGGTATTACTGAAATGCTTTACAAAATAGGTGGATTTTCAGGAGTTTTTCGAAGGAGGATAGTGAAGGATCTTTACGTACGTTAATTGGGAGGCTGTTCCATGTGTAGGAGGCAGCGTGGAAAAAGACACAAAGTTGGGAGTGAGCAAAAGAGACAAAAGGGGAATTAAGAGCGATGCTTGGGAAGTGCTGACGGTAAAGGAAATGAGGACCAAGGTTAAGCCAGAATCAAGAGCGCCTTGAACATGGCCAACTTAATGCAAGGGATGAAAAAATTCCTGGCAAAGGTTTAAGAAGTGAGGAAACATGGGTAACTATACAGGAAAGGAGAAATGATTTGTGTAGCATGTCCCATAAAAACAAAAAAAAACAAAAAAAAACCAAACCACACACGAGAGAGTTAGGAAGTGGGAGATCAGTTCACATCAAATACCTTGTTGTAACAAACATTTCAGTCTTATATAATAGAAAATAATTAACTTCACTGAGATTTTATCCAATACCCAGCCAGATATGAGGAGTGGTAAGAACAAACTGCAGTGATTCTTCATCTAAAGCTCTGAAATCATGTGAAAAATCATTATGCAGTGTAAAAACCACACACCCAAAATAAAACCAAATGGAAAAGGCTAGAAAAAAGGTGTTTAAAACATGGCAATAAATGTAGCCATAAAATGTGCTTGTTGTGATTGTTCTTTAAAATGGATACACTCATTTAATGCACAAATAAATTGTCATACAGAGGTTTAGCTGATTCATTCCCTCTTATCATCACTGCCACCAGTTACGAGAAATACAAAACTCTCAGTTTACACTGAACATTGATGAAGAAAACTTTTAAAATACAAAACTGATAGCCCATAGGAGAAATAAAATTAAATATTTTTTAAGCTTATGCAGGTAAAATACCATGACACTACTTGTTCTGAGCCAGAAGGGTCTTTTTGCATGATCTAAGTTTACTTTACTTCCAACTACGATTTTGTGTCATTTACAAGTACATATTCATCAGCTCAAGATCTAAGTACAAAAAAATCGAGCAATTTGTCACTAACATTAGTAATAGCAACTCCTGTATTACTGAGGTCTTAAAAAGTAATATTGAAATTAATATTAACACTTCCTCTCCTTGCCAGTATTTTCAAAGGAATTATAAACATATTGATTGTTCTTGGTAAGTGTTTGATATCATTTGGGTTTAAACATAAATATAGGTTCACACAACTCACATCTTTTCAGTAGATGTGGAGCCTGAATATTTGCATCTGAGTTCAACTCAAGATATCATTTATGTCCACCTCTCCAACAAACTAAAATCAAATCATACTATATTTTGCTGGAAACTTAAAACCAGACATCTAAGTCTCTACTCCTCTTCCATGTAGTGACAGTCCATCAGTAGACCCAATTAGCTTACTCATTTTTTATTTTCTTTCCACTCATACTGTCCCAAATTCTCTGTTTCGAATACAGATGATGGTATGTTGGTTACTTGCACTATATCTCAGTTAGAGGACTCTGTAAAACAGTCCCTCTCCTTTTTTTCATTTGTGTGTGTGTGCATGTGCAAAACAGCAGGAAAAAATACTAAATAGATTTCCAAACCCTGTTTTAGAAGATCTCAATTCAGAAATGCTTTCTTTAAGTCCAATAAAGCTTGTAGGAAAATCCTTTTCACTTCAAAATGCAATCTGAGTTAAAAAAAAAATTCTACATAGTCTTCTGCAGGCTTTAAAGTGTAAAAATAACAGGATGTCAGTTAGATCCTTAATTACAGAGAAAGAAATGTATGCATCTCTGCCTATACAATGTTATGTCACACACAGGTCAGTTTGAACAAGCTCTTATTACATTATCTCAAACACACAGGGAAATCTGTACTTACCCACAAATCATGCTCAGCATAATCAAACAGCAGCCAAACCTTTCTGTCACTGTGAGAAAGGAAAACTTTCTGCAATGCAATCACGTTTGGGTGCTTCAACTCCCGTAAAAGCTGCAGAGAAACAGAGAAGTTCTTGTTACTTCTGTGCTTGTACAAAGTAAACACAGGTCAAATAGCGAACAAGTGATCCTAACACAGGCCCTAGAAGAAGAGATGCCACTGATTCAGCCCATTATCTTAAAAATGTCAAAATCAGGATATGTGCAGCCTTCACGTCATGGATTGGTGTTCTGCCACCACAGCTGCCCATCACTACCTACTTTGTTTGTCCCACACTCAGCACACAGCTGCCCATCCCACCTATCCGTCCCACTTGACAATAGTGCCTATCTTAAAAGATGTTATCACACAATCAACTCAGTTGGAAAAGACCTCTGAGATAATTGGTCCAACCTATGACCAAATACCACCATGTCAACTAAACCATGGCACTAAATGCCACGTCCAGTCTTTCCTTAAACAGCTCCAGAGACTCCATCACCTTCCTGAGGAGCCCATTCTAATGCCCAATCACTCCTTCTATCAATAATGACACACAAACATAACTGTTTTCTTGTCAAAGATGAACATCAGGATTTGAGGATGCCAGAAAGAAGCTTGTGCAGCTGGTCCAATTCTTAGTGTGGACAACACAGTTCCTGATCACCACATAATTATCTTATTAACGATAATTTTCTTTTGCTTTGGATCCCTGCCTCACTTGGCTCGAAGTTCACGGACTGTTGTTCTCAGAACATGAGGGTGTTTTCAAAGAAATGTTTACCAAAATGTTTTTTCTAATGCGTGTTTTAACTACTGTCCTGTAATCCAGAAATAAAACCGAACTTATTTACTGCTTGCCAGAAAGAAAACTAGGTCTCATGACTAATTAGACAATACATTAAAGCAGGCACCGCTGCTGAAGTTATCCTTCTGCCAGATTAAATTAGTCTCAGGAGATGCTGGGAAGCAGTACTCCCAAAAATATAATTTCTATGGAATCACTTTTCCTCTCCTCCCCCTTTCCACACATCAGTCACAAGAATGATGGGTCATTTCTGTTTTATCTGGAAACTGCTTGCATCTGCAGCACTAGTATATACATTGCCAAGAATCAATTTATAATGATGAAATAGTAAATGGAATAGGTTCCAAGGCCCATTTGAGAGAAATGAATCTTCCCTTTTTTCACCTTTCAGAAAAAGACTCAAGATGTTTATTTTAGGGGAAATTAAAAATAAAAATATTAATTTTAAATTATATTATATTTTGGCTATATAGGTATCTGTCAAGACAAGAAATCTTCTGAAGAATATAGCTGCTTAAATCTATTCCTGTTTTTCAGCAAATGAAAGAAATGTTTTTTCTGTCATGCAGGAAGTGTTTTCTTCTTTTTGTTTCTTTTCTTCTTTCTCTAAACCTGAGCTTCCCTTTCTCCAGGCTAAACAACCCCAGTTCCCTCAGCCTCTCCTCATAAGATTTGCCCATTGTTACATTCTGGCTGTCAAGACTGGGTGCCACAGCAGCAGGAGCCAGATCAAGGAAATATTGGCTCCAGAAGTTCAAAACACTTTTTCAAGAACAGGAGCTCTGCTCTAGCTACGCTGGACTTGCAATGGTGCTCAACACCAAGACAAGATCAGAGACGATAGTGTAGAGTACTAGCGATGAGCATGAGCCCCAAACAGAAATGCCGGTCAGATTTATGTCTACAAATAATCTTGCCTAGAAACAGACTACAGCAGAAGAGGGAGTGACCGCAAGGACTGAGCTGATGTAGCTCATAGGTACATAAAGAGTGGATGTGAGCAGAGACATTCAAAATGCATTGAGAAGATGTGATCAGAAAGGAATATAGGGCAGAACCAAATACACAGCTACAGAAATAAAAACCTATCAAATTTGAGACAAGCGTTTCAGAGACAACTATTAATCTAAGGCTTTATCTAAAAAGAAATGAGGGATTTCTGAAACTGCATTTTAATTAAAGCAGACAGGGAGACGCCAATAGTGTGAAAACATGGGAAAATATTTGGAGCTATTTGTATCACAACTGTAGCAACCACCTACCCTAACGACTTTTATGTTTGACTAGAACTTTGTCAATATTTAACTTCTACACATGCCACGTACATCTAACGCCTAAGTCATCGCAAGTCACCTTCTTTTAATATGGTTGTATGTTCATCCATCGCCATAAAAGCATTTCACAAATGTGCATTTTAGCCATACCTAGAATCACATGAACAAGTTCAGAGATGTGGTGAATTATTGTCTACAGCTTTCCTGCAGCACAGATTGCCGTATAAACTTCAAACATACAAAATAGATAAATGAAACATAATACCAGTACTGTTCTTCTTAAATCTTGTTTAGAAGTAAACCAATTTGGAGACTTGGTTAATTCAAATTTAAAGTTAGAAGGAAGAAATCAGTATACTATCCTAGTAATTCAAAGATTTCAGTGCACCTGACAACATTTTATGACAAGGTAACAACCTGAACATAAAAAGGATCTGTGACTACTAGAATTTATTACTAAATGAACGCAACATCATATTTTAACAGTATTTAGGCTTAATGTTCCTCTAAAATTGAAGTTCCATCACACCCAACTTGCGGTAAAATGCTAATAAAAACCTGTGTCTTGGGTGAGTTACGGTACACTTCTTTCTTGGTAACAGCACACATTAGGCAGAAAGACATTGAGAAGGACATCACTGTGAATGGTCAACATCTGCGAAACTCTGACTGTCCTGTTCAGTGGGTTTCATATAAATATATTAGAGGATGATTATTATTATCATTATTATCAAGAGAACTGTACAAGCATCTCTGCTTATTACCTTTCTTAGAAAATGGCACAGCCTGAAGTTTTAAAATGCTGCATTTGGATAGCTCAAATAGCATGGAACAGCTTGTAGGATTCCCAGGTGGTTACACACTACATGTAGAATTGCTAGTAATTTCTTCAGTTGTCTGATGAATAAGTTCTCTCATGAGGGACACTGAGAATTTCCCTCACAAGTGAATGTCCCTTATAGCAGGGGAGGGATGGAGGTCATAAGGGAAAGTCTCTCATGACTGAGAAAAAGTTAATTTAGAAGCAGAATTGATACTGAAGCTTGAAGCATTGGAAATGTAAAATGTCAGTAGTCACGCTGAGTTAGACTTCGCATGGAAAGTCAAAATAGACAGTAAAGATTGTCTAGAGAGAGAAGGAGAACAAGAGAGTGCACAACAATAAGAAAGTAAAAGTAGGATGTCTTAAAACATAAAGACAAAAATACAAATCTAAAATATTTTACTTCAGGGTTTAATAACAGTTATGATACTGATCATGGAAAGAACAAACACAGATAATGGAAATGCTTCACATTTCAGAAAGCGAAAATTAACACAAGTCAGATACAAGCAAAACTCAGAGGTGATATCAGATGATTAGCAAATACATCCCATACATTCATAAATGAGAAATGGAAAGGAGAGAAGGCATTTGTAGACTTGTTAATCCAATGCAAAAAACCCCAAACACTTTGAAACTCTAAACATAAAGAAAAACGTGTTTAAAAAAATTATCCTGACTTCCTTATCCAATAATTGATTTTGAACACAGATCTTCTGCTTGTGTTGAAATTTTAACATTATAGTAACTCTAAGTACTTCGTGAGATGGGAAAAATGGGAACAGGTTTGAAGTGAGCAAGAAACTACCTAAAAAGGCAGCTGACAATTGGACACATTTCAAGGCTAAGTAGTTCTATATATATTAACTATTTGGGGAGTTACCAAAGAACAAGCATTGTGTTCATTAATAAAACCCATCTTAGCATCAAAATCCTGAATGTGAATTAAATTGGCCGATTCAATAAAGGCAGCATTCCCAATGAAGAAAAGGAGTGTGCTAATGCATCATTTTTTAAGCTACTTTATTCTATGGCTGAGTAAACAAAGAGTAATAGAAATGGGATGAGCACAAAATCTGAATTCATGCACTTGGGAGCTAACCAAGAATTTCTGCTACAGACTGAGAAGTCATCAGGTGCAGGTGACAAAAAGGTAGAACTGGATATTATCTGATATTAGATATCCTAATTGAGGTATTTGCAGGAAAGAAAGGAATCTATTGATATGAATACATAAAAAGCTGTCTGTGATATATTTTTAAAATACTAGAAGCGGGTTTTTTTACCCATGCTCAAACACCTCCCCCTCCACACACACATAGAAAGATGAACTTGCTCTGAAAGAGGCAAAGGATGACCAAAGGAGCAAACAATCTCTCTCTCAACAGGGAATAAAAGGCTTTCTCAATTACTGTAACTGATCAAATATTGAAAGAAAATAAGATGGATATCCACTAAAATACAAAGACATGAACACTAAAGATGAAAGAAATCATTACACTAAATGATAACCATGTTCAAGAATAGAAAGACACAACTGATAAGAGATAAAATTACTCTGCAAGATGGCATCTGATGAACAGGAAGGTTCAGGAATAGCTTCTCAATAGCAGGGAAAAAAGGATACCTCATTTGTGTTTTGATCAACATTGGAAAACAAATTTACTTGATGAATTTGATATGTCAGCCACTAGATTCACTAGACAGATGCCTATGCAGTACTTGCTTATATAGAAGCCTTTACAAAAGACAGGTTTAATGAGGTTTTACTGATCACCTCCAGCAGATTGAAAAGCTCATGTACTGATTGACAGTGAGCTCCTAAACCAGTTTGGTTTAAACTCTTTGAACTTAGCCTGCAAATTGTCTACCACCATATAATGCAAGCAAATTTTCCCCCCAAAAGTGAGAGACAATTTCTGTGAATAGGTGAAGAATTGCAGTGTTACTAATATAAACAACATGATCAATTACGAGGGTGTTTAGCACATTTAAAAACAGTCAAACAGTACATTCCTCAAAGAAATAAATCTTGCAGAGAAATACTTCTACACCACAAGATGAATAATGCTACCACTTACAAAAGCAAGGTGAGAACAGACACTTTCATCTCGCTGTGAAGGAAACCTAAGAAAAATTAGAGAAAACCGGAAGACAAACAGTGCTC